TGTCTGCAGATCAGCTTGAATTTGTTGGGAAGTTAATCTGGATTCTGTATCCACCATTGAAACAACCCTTCGTTGTAATTTTCCAGTAATTTGGCTCTTCTGTCCATGTCCAGGGAAGTTAGCTACAGTGACATGGGCTGTCAACCTCTTGATGATATTGCTCACAGTGGACACAGAAACATTAAGATCTCTGGAGATGGACTTGTAGCCTTGAGATTGTTGATGTTTTCCCACCTTTTTTCTCTCAAATCTACAGACAACTCTTTACACGTCATTCTTTTCTCCATGCTCAGTGTCACACACAACACAAAGGTTGCCAACTTTTCTCCATCTTAATTGGTTGCAAGTGTGATTACTATATTGCGCGCACCTCTTCTTGTGACAGGTGTGTCTAAACACAAATTAAAGGAGCATCACAAGCTTGAAAAGCAGTTATTTCTTACAATTTAGACAGGGTGCCAATAATTTTGGCCAATGCATTTTTGGGTTTCTGGGTGGGATTTTTGTTCTCTGGTGTGTGTGTGTGTGTGTGTGTGTGTGTGTGCGTGTGTGTGTGTGTGTGTGTGTGTGTGTGTGTGTGTGTGTGTTTTCAACACAAACCAAAGAAAAGAGCATGTGAGTACCAAAACATTTGCAACTGCAACCATTTTCTGAGAGAAGGGTTGCATTTTCTGACAGAATTGCAAGGGTGCCAATATTTTTGGCCATGTCTGTAACATCCTATACAAAGGCTCAGGCCCCAGATCTAAGGAGGCTTGTGCCTAGTGTATATGTGCATATGTCCTTTCTGTGGACACAAGAAGCAAGTACTGTGTGCATCAGTTTTCTGCTCTCCACACAGTCCCTCAGGTACCCTGAATATTGATATTGATTGAGAGTCTGTAAGAGCTGCATCCTAAAAGACAGGTGTTGAATATAGTTAAAAGATCCTGACTTATGAATGCAGTCCCAAGCTTTGTTTTATTATAAATGCTGAGCATGTTCAGTTATATATTCTTATTATCCACAGATACTCATGTCCATGGGTGTTATTACATGGGGATGATATTAAAGATGTATACTTAAAAGAATCATATTTTAAGACTAACGAATTACAGTGCAGATGATCAAGAATGCAAGTTTAATTTTTTGTGATACTTTAATTAGCAAAATGTTGCTGCTGTATGCTCTTAAGTCACTTGCGACTTATAGCGGCTCTAATAGGGTTTTCAGTTGGTGAAATGTTCAAGGAATTATTTACTATTGCCACTCCCAGGACATTTGAGGATTTGAACCATCATCTCCTGAGTCCTAGTCTGACATTCTGTTCGTTGTGCCACATTGTACCTCAAAAAATTGTCAATTACGTTTATTAATATTAATATTATGCTAATTATAATATAATTAGCATAGTATTAATTAGCATTAATATTATGCTAATTAATATTAGTATTAACATTAAACTGATTATAGTGTAGTTGATGTAATGATAGTAAAATATTACATAATATTTGCAGGACACTTCTAATACATTGAATAAGAGATGCTATTCATTAAAAACAGTACGCATCATAGAATCATACAATAATGACTCAGCTATCCGCAAAAAATTCAATTTTCAGGAATTTGGAGTGCCTAAATCTGTTGCTCAACACAGGTGCAGACTTTAATAAGAAAGACAAATTTGGAAGGTAAGAAAGACATCATGCTTTTTCTAAATGTTTAAGGTTAATTAAATGCACAGTTCACTTACCATTATCAGACTGCATTCACTGAAAGTATTGTCATTTATTTTCTTTTACTTACACTTGAACATTAAATATGCTTATATGTATTAAAAAGACAATTACACTGACATTTTCTAGTAATACTTATCAATGTAGGTAGACTATTGCAACCACTATTTATTAAAAAATCAATTACCATTTATATTTAGTGGTAATTATTGAAGTAGATAGACTACTAGATTATCTCCAAACCTTTTCAAACAACTGTTCCCATAAACATCCCAGAAAGTTTCCAGTACATAATGCAAATATTAAACAACCTGTGTGTATCCAATGGGATCTGGATGGCAAATAGGTGCAGATGTGGTAGAAAGGTATAAAGACCTTGTGGTATTTTTTGGTGAGGCTACCATATTTTGAGCCATTATTTATCTTCTACTACACAATTTATTTATAGGATCCTTTTCAGGTAGTGGAAGGATATGGTAAGGCTGTATTAATCACTATCAATGTTTCATTAATTGCCCCTTAGTTCAGATGCATGCAGGAAAGGGACATTGCATGTTTAAGCGAGTTTACAAATAAGTGGCATTTGTCAGTTGCTCATGTGCAGAAGGAGTATTGTTACTCTGTGTACCTATTTTTTCTTTCATCTGTAATATGCCATAGAACTCCTCTTCATTATGCTGCAGCCAACTGTAATTACCAGTGCCTGTTTGCTCTTGTGGGTTCTGGAGCTAGTGTAAATGATCTTGATGAGAGGGGTTGCACACCACTGCATTATGCTGCTGCATCAGACACTGACGGAAAGTAAGTATGGCAATGTTTTTATAAATGTGCAATTCTGCAAGCACAAAATAAAACAAATGTGTAGAATGACCCACAAAATGATGCCTATGCCTCATGTTTGAGGAGCTAGTATTTGAAAATTCATTTATTATAATGGAGTAAAATAAACACATGGCAAGATTCAACTTCTATATTACTTTCATAATTTAAATTTTACATAGTGTGAGGGTTCAAGCTCAGGCTTTTGTTTTTCTCTAAATAAATCGCCACTTGCATGGTTTCAAAATGGGAGTAATATTTATTGCTGTATTCAACAAGAAACCGGTATCTGCAAAAGCATTCCAACATTTTTCTCCTTCCAATAACTGGTCAGCAAGGGGCTTCCAATCATCATCCTTGAAGGGGTCCCCCCCCTCGAGTTCCACAGTCCCGGCCAGCCCACAGACAGGTTAGGGTTCAATACCTGTCTGGTCTCTCCTTCCAGTAAGGGGACTGTGTCTTCATCCCAGTTATCCAACCAGGCGGGGTCCTGGGTAGGAGTGTAAGGCAGCCAAGGTCCTCTGGGTAACCCCTCATCTGGAATTCCCTCACTCTCCATTCTATTCTTTCTCCTCTCTCCCTCTCTCTCTCTACCCTTTCTTTCTCTTCCCTTAATTTCCTCCGCCACTCTTTTGTTTCCTTCTCATCCCATTAAGAAGGCTTGGGGGTTAACTTTCTCCTTCTCCAGTAATCAGCCTCTTCTTTGGGTATCTGGAGCCTCTCCCACTTGCCAGTCCATGAATCCTGCATCCAGATCCACTCCCAACCTAGCAGCAATTCGCTTTCCTCCCTTTTTATATCTGCTAAGCCCGCCTCCACCTCCACCCTTGGCTTTCGTTCCTTTCCTGCCAAATCCTTCCCGGTCTCCTTTGAAAATCCTCCTCTGCTCTCCCCGGATCAGATTCCGGTGGTCCTGTCTTTCTGGGAGGAGAAACAGGTAAGGTTTGAACCTCCTTCCCTGCAGTGGGTGGGAGGGATGGCACTCCAGCGAGAGTGACCTTACTCTCGCCTCTGGTATTACACATAGAAGCTCTGTGTTTCCTGATTATGAGAATATTGCATTGTAACAAAAAAAAGGCATAAAAAGAGATGATTTGTAGTTTCAACTCATGCTATAGATGCACATAGAGAGAATTGAATAGGAAGCCAGATTTAACACTGTTAGGATAATGAAACTATATATCAACCAGAATCCTGTTTTACAGGTTATTGCTGTCAACCTACTGGAACATTTGGGGGGCCTTACAACTTTCCCCCACCCTTTTAGGTTCTGGGGATCCCTAAGGCATCCCTTTGACCCAGGGAAGACTTTGTGATCTGGAAAATGGGAGAGGAGACTTTAATGCCTGAAAATCACTGCTAGTTATTCTGATCCCACTGGGAGGTTTTCTGTATGAGAAAGAGTGATAGTACAGTAGTGGTGATGGTAGTAGCATTCAAAGTATGTCCTGTAGTATGTTCTACTGTGTCCTAAAAAGCAAGTCAAGTTAATATTAATGTAAGACAAAATGGTACATACATAGAAGAATGGTTCTACACGTATCCCTGTCTCTATGTCTTGAATGGCTTGTTGAAAAATATGCTCTGTGTGTTCTATTTCTATTTGTGCTATTTATTTTGCACAGGTGCCTGGAATACTTACTACGAAATGATGCAAATCCAGGGATTCGAGATAAACAAGGATACAATGCAGTTCATTATTCTGCTGCTTATGGTCATCGATTATGCCTTGAATTGGTAAGAAATTATTATTAAGTGTTCAGCAGAAAGCAGTGATTGAAATCAACTCCTGTGTTGTTACAGGAAAATTATATTCAAAACATAACTAGTATTAAAATAGTAAAGTAGCTAGGAGGAGGTCATGCCAGCCTAAACTACTTGACCTTCTTCCTTCAACTGAGTAATGTCTTAAATGTGCTTGACCACTTGAACAAGCCCATACGGTTGTGGATTTTTTTTTCTTTGAACTGTAAAACCTGATATATCAAAAACTATCTTTGCACATTCCGCTCAGTTTTAAAAAGTTGTCACATGGTATGCTGCAAAAAACAAAACAAAACAAAAACCCCAAAGGCCTACAGTTTATTAAATGAATATCCGTGGCATGTGTGAAACCCAGTTCAACTAAAATTAGATGGAACTTTGCTTTTAACTACATTTAGGAGTTAGTTTGGTGCTTACAGTATGTGCAGGAACAACTAGTCACACATGAAATAATCTGATAAAATATATGTGCCAAAACATGTATATATTTGTATTATAATTGCTGTTTTTAAAAGTTAGAGATTGTTTTCTTTCTCGAGAAAAAGAAAAATACGAAGATGGTAATTTTTATTAATATATTTATTGTCACGTTTTTGGCAACAATTAACTGAAAAATGTTTCATTGCAGATTGCCAGTGAAACACCTCTAGATGTTGTAAGTATAACAATTTTGAAAAGTGTTATAACCTAGTAATATGGAAAAATGTTTTTTCCTGTTAGACATTTCAGTACTTTTGCTTGATTAAGCAATGTATTGTGGGTGATTTTTCTATAGCTGTTTTCTATCTGCAGCTTTCTGGCTTTTCCAAATTGACTCTAATGCTTACTGGTGTCTGTTCAAGTTGAATTTTTCAAATACCAAGTTAACAAAGTTTCCAATATATTTATTCTGTGTCAGGAAATTGACTCTAATGCTTACTGGTGTCTGTTCAAGTTGAATTTTTCAAATACCAAGTTAACAAAGTTTCCAATATATTTATTCTGTGTCAGGAAATATACATTTTTTTCATCCAATTACTTACCTAATATTTTTGTATTTTTTGAAAAATCCATGTAAGGTGTTTATTTCTCATAAAAGTGGTGAAGGACAATTGTGTATTGCTGAAGTTTGTCTATTAATCTAAATAGATATATTTATTAAAGTATTTTCTCAAGTTATTATTTCTTTTTTTTTAGTTAATGGAAACATCAGGAACTGACATGCTCAATGATTCAGACAATAGGGCACCAATTAGTCCGTTACATTTAGCTGTAAGTATTCATTTTGCTAAATATTTATTATTGGCCTATTAAATATGCACATATTTTTCTGGGTGATATACCATCATTTTGATCCTATGCTTTGAATTAAATCTCAGGTCAATAATAACTTGATTTAATATTCAGTATCATTTGTAATGTGTACATTTAGGCTTCAAATAAGATTTAATTTTTGTGATAAACATATTATTTCCATCTAATTTTTTTTATAAATTTCAGGCTTATCATGGACACCATCAAGCTCTGGAAGTGTTAGTGCAGTCTTTGTTGGATCTAGATGTCCGGAATAATAATGGAAGAACACCTTTGGATCTTGCAGCTTTTAAGGGACATGTTGAATGTGTGGATGTACTCATTAATCAGGGAGCATCTATTTTGGTGAAAGACTATGTTGTTAAAAGAACACCAATTCATGCAGCAGGTATTTTTTTTTAACTGCTGAATGTTTATGCCGTATTAGAATAGTAGCTAGGAAAAGGAAATCATAAAGCTGGCCCATTCTATGACCTCTCCTGGGAGGGGAATGTTTATTGGCCTCCTCTCTGCTCTGAACTGTTTCTTTTGTGGCTGATCAGTACAAGAACTACTTATTGGCCAGAATCCTGTTGTCCTTCATACAAGGTTTCCATAACTTGGATGTAGCTAATTGACTAGATGCTAGGATATAGTTTGGTTACATAAGACCTTCTCAGTTAGCTGCAATTAGCCACTAAAGTTACACAAATTTTATGTGAACACCAACAGGACTCCAGTCATTAATCTTAAGTATTTATGCCACAATGTGAATTTTCATCTTTGTTCCAATTCCCCCTTTCCTTCTCAATCCTGATAATGTATATTTGTATGTAAGGACTGTGTTGCTGAATTGATTCTGTATGCTGCTCTGGGAGGTTTATTTTTTAGCTGAAGAGCACGTTGCAAAGATTCTAATGAGATAATAAATATGTGTGTGTGTGTGTGTGTGTGTATGGGCACACACACACAGACAGAGTTCTTCTCCCCAAAGAGATCTGGAATAGATAGCATACACCAAAATAAAATATGCGATATAAATGATAAAATTCAATAAAACCCAACAACATACAATATATACTTTTACCTTGTATGTGGTAACATATAAAAACACTTGCCACATAACTAGTGGAATAGGCATTCCTAGCCTCTAAAGGCCCAATGAAATCATTAGGCCTTACATCACCTCCTGAATCCTTCCAGGGATGTTATATTTTGCAGGGATCCAGGAAGAGAATTCTAGATCATGGGAGCAATAACACCGAAATATATTTTTCAGATACATTCAATCAGGATTGGTTTGATTGCTGGCACCTTTACAAGGTGTTGTTTTGCAGGGGCAAGGATTCTTTTGTATTTGAAGTCAATGAAAACATGTCTTGTTGCTTAGCATAATAAGTAGCAGTAGAGTAGGCCCATTGAATCAATGGGATTTGGTGAGCCAAGTACCCCATAAGTTCCTTCAATTCAAAAAGGTAAACTGTAATTTTGATTTACTATGCCAAAGTAAGTCACAATTAGAGTAGGCCCATTTGAATCAAAGAAATTTACAGAAGAATTGACTCACCAAATCTCCATTGATTCAGTGGGTGTAACTTACTACACTAAGCAAAAGAATTTGGGCCAGTGGGACTTAAGATAGTCCTTGATTAGAGTAGATTGACGTATTGTCAGATCCAGCCAATTATTTTTATGTAACACAGGAAGATATTCATTCATTCATTCATTCATTCATTCAATTTGTATCCTGCTCCCGTTAGTGTCACAGCACTATTTTGGGTGCGTTACAACTTGTGAAATTGAAAACAAAAATAAAAATATAACTATTAAAACCAATAGCAATATTTATTTTTTTGCTGGCTAATATTTCTAGAATACAATTCACAGAAACCAAAGTTTCATCAGATTATGTTTTTAGAGGCTCTTGGGGCTGGAATCCTTGTGCAGTGAACCTGGAATGTAATGTAAACTCCCATCTCTCTGCTGTCCAAACCAGAGACCACCTCCATTGGTCTCACTTGGCCTTGCATTTGCGGAAGGACATGTGCTGTTCCCAGCCTGCAGTAATGATGATTAAATGGTTTATTTGTTGATTGTATATTTCAGCTACAAATGGTCATTCAGAATGCTTGCGGTTGTTGATAGGAAATGCAGAGCCACAAAATGCTGTAGACATTCAAGATGGAAATGGACAGTACGTTTTAAAATGTTTTCTTTCTCATTCCTTCTTGCATTTCTTCAAATGAATCAGTTGGAGCTGGATAGAAGTAGGCTAATCCAATTAATATAAATTAATGTTTGTGTGGTTTACCCAGCAATACAAGTACTTCTTTCAGACAAATGCAGCTAAACACTCTTTGAAAACTTTAAAACTTTGGGTTTTACAAAAGACTCACATTTAGAGTCATAGAGTTGGAAGAGACCACTGAGGTCGTCCAGTCCAACCCCCCCTCCCAATGCGGGAATTTATCTGACCATTTTTTAAATTGACTGTTGTAGATGGGATCCAAAGGGAACTGAGATTCATCAAGACTTTTCACTGCAGGATGGAATATGGTAGCATCATTCCTCCTTCCTTCTGCAATCTCATATTGTTATAGGGAGTTCAGAATATTGGGGTAGTAATGGGAACTGAAGAGAGAGGGAAAAATCAGAGAAAATTTCTGTCCCTCTTTTGTAGCATCACTCGAACTCTACTTAGCACAAGTTTAGATCAAACTCACATAATACGCCTTTGACTCTCTTCCATTTAATTCTGATTCTGAGGGATTCTTTGGGCCTTAATAAGGGCCTGCATGATGCCTAAACACCCCAGAAGGTACTACTTGGCTAGTTGAGATTTTTTTAAAAAAAAAAAAGATGGGAGGGGAAAGGACTATCGGAGGGTAGTCCTGAGTTAGATCCAGTTCTCCAAACCTTGGCCGTTGCTCATTCTCAGTGTATTTATAACTATTTGATGGTCTTTCTGATGTTGCTTCTGAGAAGAATGGTTCTCTTATTTCCATTTATGTGTTTGGCAGGAATGCTTTCAGCATCCATTTCACTCGCTGCATTCCAGATTGTACAGTTGTTAATTTGAAATGTAGGCATTCTCATTTAATCTCCTTCTCTTCCAGGACTCCTCTAATGTTGTCTGTTCTCAATGGTCACACAGACTGTGTCTATTCACTGCTTAATAAAGGAGCAAATGTAGATGCCAAAGATAAATGGGGAAGAACAGCATTACACAGAGGGGTAAGAAACAGTTTGTATGTTGCCCCATTCCCTGCTTTTTTTGCTTCAAAATATAACATTGTTCCATATAAGAAAAAACAAACAAACAAAAATCCTGGGTTGGGTCTGAATTAAATTACTTTTGACTATAAGTATCATTAATCTGAATGAAAACTAAGGACAACTTTGTTTAGATCCAGACCACAGTTTGTATTTATTTAGGAGATTTGTATCCCACCTTCTAGAATTTCAATATATTCTACTGCTACAATCCAATACAAAAATAATGTAATTTTTTAAATGGCATATATCACACACCTCACTTCTGCCTTGTTGCCAGCCTTCAAAGAATAAAACAACTACCCATGGGTGTCTTTTATATTTTATATATCTGGATGCTTTGTGCTTCTTTTTCCTTTTTCATTCTAGTTCTTAGCATTTTCCTCAGTATCTTTGGGATATTCCCTAATCTTTCACCAACAATCCAGCTGTTCTCAACTACACATCCCTAGCTTTTCACCAGATATAGTTATATCTTTTAGTTCCTATCTCAGCCTCTCCTAGCCATCATTCATCAAGAGTTTAACAGTAGGCAACCAGGCATCTATAGGAGCAAAGAGCAGTGATATTCCTGGTGGAACTCCAGAAACTCTTTAGCAAGTGTCACACAGCAAACTCTTAAGAACAGTAGTTTTCATATGGATTTCAGTACACATGAATGAGCCAATGAAGTGAAGCAGTTGAAGGATCACATATCTATATGAGGAAAACAACACAGTGATTTTCTTTTCATTATATATACTTGCCTGCACAGTGTATGGTGTATTTGTTACATTTTTTTCAGGCAGTTACTGGACACGAGGAGTGTGTAGAAGCACTTCTTCAGCATGGTGCAAAGTCTGTATTACGAGATTGCAGAGGACGGACACCTATACATCTGTCAGCTGCATGTGGACATATTGGGGTATTAGGGGCGCTCTTACAGTCAGCAGCAGCTGGGGATGTGATACCTGCCTTAGCAGACAATCATGGATATACATCATTGCACTGGGCCTGTTACAATGGTAAGTAAAGCTTTAAAATTTGTTTGTTTGTTTGTTTAGAGCAGGGATGGCGAACCTATGGCACACGTGCCACAGCTGGCATGCAAAGCCCTCTCTGCGGGCATGCAAGCCATAAGTCGCCGGATCGCTACCTCTGGCAGCCACAGCTGAGGAGGTGGCTGCAGCCACAGTGCTACGCCCTGACATGCGGCGGGCCAGGATCTAGAGCTGCTGGCGTTGGCAGGGGTTGGGCATGATTTTAGGCAGATCCAGAGTGGGGACTGGAGGCACCTCTGTGCCCGGGATTTCCGCTTCCACCTACCACCCACTGGGCTTTTTTGTTGTTGTTTTCTAGTTTGGGCACTTTTGCTCAAAAAGGTTAGCCATCACTGATTTAGAAGAACAAATATTCCAGAGGGAGAAGAAACTCCCTCTTATAATCCCACTTGCATGTAAGCACCTTCATTTCCACTCCACTGCCATTTTCAGACTTGTCTACAGATCAGAGAAGTTGGTAAGTTAATAAAAATCTAACAGAGAGCAAATCAGCTATGGAAAACAGAGTCCTGTGGGCATCTTAAGATGAACAGTAAGCCACTACATCAAGATGCATTCATTCTTCTAGAGCAATATGAAAATCATCTTGAAGGATTCTTGCCAAAATCAGTCTTGTATCTGCCGTCTTATATCTGCAGGCCCTTACTTTTGTTGTTGTTGTTAAGTCATGTCCGACTCTTCGTGACCCCATGAACCAGACCACGCCAGGCCCTCCTGTCTTCCACTGCCTCCCAGAGTTTGGTCAAACTCATGTTGGTAGCTTCGGTGACACTGTCCAATCATCTCGTCCTCTGTCATCCCCTTCTCTTGCATTCACACTTTCCCAACATCAGGGTCTTTTCCAGGGAGTCTTCTCTTCTCATCAGATGGCCAATGTATTGGAGCTTTAGCTTCAGGATCTGTCATTCCAGTGAGCACTCGGGCTTGATTTCCTTCATAACGGATAGGTTTGTTCTCCTTGCAGTCCAGGGGACTCTCAAGAGTCTCCTCCATCACCACAATTCAAAAGCATCAATACTTCAGCAGTCAGCCTTCTTTATGGTCCAGCTCTCACTTCCATACATCACGACAGGAAAAACCATAGCTTTATGCTGACCTTTGTCAGCAAGGTGATGTCTCTGCTTTTTAAGATACTGTCAAGGTTTGT